GAACTCGTGTTTTTCAACTTCACAATTCGAAAATAAGATTTGTAAGTCTTTTATTCAAAAATCAAATAATAATTCAAGATTTTAATAATAGTAATTATATTATATTATAAAATTAAATAATATACATATCGAACTACACAACTCAAACCACCCACTCAAAATCCTAATCATTTACTATTCTCTCTCTCTTTTCCCTTTCTATCATCTTCAGTCCTTCTATTTCTCTATCGCAACCAACGGGAAAAGTCATCGGAGACCACTGCATTAGCGCTCAAAGTGGGGAGCAAACTTGCGGCGATGAGAATGTCGCCACTGCGATGCGCTGTGAGTGACAATGTCCCTGCTGTAGCGCGCTGTGAACAGCGATGTTATAGAGATGTGTTGTGAGCGGCAATTTCGTCACAACAGCGTGCCGTGGCTGATGAGGTTGGTGGCGAAGATGGCGTAGTGGATGCAAATCTTTTAGAAGAGTCACTTTTTGTTGAAACCGTGACCGTAGGACTTACACATGGTGACTTTGATGGGCCGAGTGGTGTCAAGTGAGAGGAATGATTGAGTAAAGAGTTTTCCATTTGAGAAGAGGAGTATTCTTCCTCCGGCATATCACCCCAAAAGTTCAGAGGGGATAGTGCTGTAAGTAATGCAGGTGCTTTTTTTTTTTTTTTATTGTGTTGGTGCCGTGGTGGTCGTAGCAATGGTTGTAGTGGTGATGGTGGTTTTTTCTACGATATGTTGATTTGTTTAAGGTGGTGGTGTTGCTGTCGAGAGGTGTTAGTGGTTTTGGTGGCTACGATGATGGTGTTATTGCTAGAGGCAGTAGTTAGGTCGTGGTTGCAAGTGTTTGTGGTGGTTAAAAATTATTTGATTGATTATAACTATTAAATTGATTTATCTGTAACCAATAAATAATATAGATCAATAAAAAAGATAAATTGTGATAAAAAAATAATTTGTAACCTAAAATTTTTTTAATTTGTGATCGATAATTCAAAAATGTGCTTTTGTCCAATAAATTGTGACTTATAATGTTTGTGATTTATGTATAATTTTTTTTTTTATACAATTGTGATGTATAAATTTTTTTATTTGTGATCGATAAACAAATTGAGACTTATTAAATTTTTGAATTGTAATCGTATAATAATTTGTGATATATAAAATTTTTGATTTGGATCGAAAAATAATATATGACTAATTAAATCGTTAATTTTTTATCATAATATATTTTTAATTAATAAAATATATAATTAATTAATTAATTACTAAATAAATTTTATAAGTATTTTGATTTTTGAAATTTAAAAGCTCTGTTCTTATTTTTGAAATGTGTGATATTTAACCTTTTAGCTATGAAATTTTTTCCTTCATTAAATATATGATTAAAATGAGTTATTGACTTTTATTTGAATTTTAAGTTAGATACCAAAAACATTTTTCCACAAGAGAAAAATTCATAACTAAGAGAATTAAGTATTACCCATTTCAAAATTAAGAACAAATGTATCAAATTTCGAAAATCAGATATTCATTAAATTTTTTTCATGACTTAATTAATTAATTATATATTTTTTAATTAAATATATTAAGGTCAAAGGTCTATATAATTTGGTCACAAATTAATGATTTAGTTCGTCGCATATTATTTTTAGGTCACGAATCAAAATTTTTATGTGTCACAAATTATTTTACATTTACAATTCAAAATTTTTATAGGTGCCACAATTTGTTCATTGGTCACAAATAAAAAATTTACGAGTCATAATTTATCTATTGGTTGCAAATCACAAATATTATAAGTCACAACTTATTATACAGTCACAAATTATCAAATTATCGATTACAAATTAACAATTTTTTAGTCCACACGTTATATCTTGGTCATTGTTTATCTTTTTCATTGTTCAGCGACTGACCAATTTAATGATCACAATCAACCAAATAATTTGTAATCACCACCATCAATTGTGACAATAATCTTCACCACACCACACCACCAACCGAAAAATTCCTAAACCTACAATTCGTTGCCACTGCCATTGCCACCCCCACCACCACCACCTTCAACACCTCCATCACCACCAATCCACAACCACCAACCGAATGGTCACACACGGTACCACCATCACTGCAATCAATTACCATACCAGTAGCCAGCAAAAAAGCCATCGCCAACACTCCAACAAACAAAACCAAAGCCACCTTACCTCGCAGCAAATCCACCAATACTTGCCCCAACCACCTGTAGCACACCATCAACACCCGAACTGTAGCAGTGCCCATTTTACACAAAGCACAGTGTTACAGTGACAATAGGTGTCGTCCATGTCTCTTTTGTCATCCAAGTCTCCGACGTGAAGCATGGCCTTGCAGCGATAATTGAAGCATCTATGTCTTCGGCGCCATCTAGGTGCATGAAGCGAAGACCGTGCCTCATCGTCGGGTGTGCCATCTCGTTGGAGGTGGTGTGCTGGTGGTCTCCGATGAATATTTATGGTGGTTGGGATAAATTGATGGAGTAGAGAGAGAGAAAGGGGATAAGGTGACAGTAGAGAAAGAGAAGAAAATAAGAAAATGATTGGGGTTTTGAATGGATCACTGTAAATGCATATTAATTTTATTTTGTAATATAATTATTAATATTAATTTTTTTTAATTACAATCTGATTTTTGAATAACCAAACTTTGAATTTGATTTTTGAAATTAGATTTTAAAACATATGGTTGGGTGTAATTTTCACTTTTTACACAAGGAAAAATTTATAACTCAGTGATTTAGTTTACACAAAATCACAAGTTAGAAGTATAGTTTGAAAATACAAAACTCAAGTATGAGGTAATTAATTAAAAATATTTATTACTTAAATATAATAAGGTCATAGTTATACAATTATTGATCACATGTAAATAATTGCAGGTCACAACTTATTTATTAGTAATATATTATCAAATTAATTGTTTACAGATTATTTTGAGGTCACAAATCAAAAATTTTATATGTCACAGATAAAAAAAAAATATATGTCACAATTTATTTATCGATCACATATTTTCGAATTTGTTGATCAAAGATTATATTTTTTGTCTAAATTATCGAATCTTAAGGTCACACTTTAATAGTTAGTCACAAAGAACTAAATAGGTCACATACACCCAAACACCCAATTCATCACCAATATTTGGACACAAATTGACCAAATAGTTGGTCATATACACATTTTGTCCCATCTGTCGCTGCTTCGCCACCGTCATAACCACCACCAACAACAATAATAACATAGCACCACTGCCACCAACATCACCACTATCACAACCACCACCATAATCGCCACCACACCAACACTAGCTCACCATGCCCTCAGCAACCAAGACTTTCACTTCCACAGTCCCCATGGCGACGTTGCACAAAAAGTAGCTATGATGATCGCAACACCACCACTCAACAACCACCACCACTACTACCACATCACCACCACAACCACCGCTAAAACAACCATTTGCAAAGTTGAAAACAAGTAAAACCACCCACAACTAATATTAAAACAATAACCAAAAAAAGAACCACCACCGACCTACGCTTCAGCGACGCTGTGCGATACGCTGTCATTGTACAGCTTTTTCGACACTACGAGCTACATTGTGAAATAGCAATCACAACGAAGCGCCGCTCAAAGGCGATCGTAGTGAGTGTTGCTCGAGAGAGGATAGAGAACACAGAGAAAAAGAGGAGGGGAAGAAGAGGGAGAACGTCGCTTGTTGTCATCTGATGATGGCGGCTTCGTGGAGGAAAGAAGACAGAGAGAGAGGAAGGGAAGAATTGGGTGAAAATAATTTAGGGTTTTAATTGGGAGGATCGAATTGGAAGAGAGCATATAAATTAATTTATTAATATTATTATATATATTGAAATCTGATTTTTGAATAAGGCACCGTTTGATTCCCATTTTTGTAAGAATAAAAATGAAAAATATAATCGTTAGGGACCCACACAAAAGATAGAAAGTCAAATATGGTGGCTTGATATGATATATAACGATCATATTTTTAATTTTTGTGGCCAAAAAATGAAAATCAAACGGGGGCTAAATTAACTTTGAACTCTATTTTTGAAATTCAACCTTTGGACACCTGTATGTAATTTTCCCATTACGCAAGGTAGTATAATCAGGCCGGTTGGAGTTGGGCTTTGAGGAAGCCCCAGTCGCACCAGGCCCATCACTTTTTCGAGAAGCTTCTCTCTCCAGCCATAAAGCAGTTTGCC